CCGAATTTTTTTGAATTGTGAAATCGTGCGGATGCTTTTGGTGCCTTTGCACGGACATTACTCTACTCAGAAGTACCACACTATTTCACATGGGCTCAAACAAAAAAATGGACACCCCGCAAGCAAAGCACACCGGTTGAAGCATGTCCCGGTTTATTCAAATCAAACGCCCTGGGGAGAGTGTTTACAGTCAATCCATGGCAGACTGAGTACTTTTATCTTCGACTGTTGTTGGTTAATGTCACCGACTCATTGTCATTTCAAGTTATACGTAAAGTCGATGGACATCAGCATCCAACGTAAAAAGATGCATGTCTTGCACTCGGCTTGCTGAAAGACGACAACCAGTGGGAATGCATGATTGCTGAAGCAGCATTGAACTGTACTGCAAAGCAAATTCGTCTACTATTCGCTATAGTATTAACTACATGTTACCCGGGGCGAATAGAAACTTTATGGTATAATCACAAAGATTCGAAGACTGATGATATACGATATCACCGTCGCACACGTTGCAACGATCTAACGATAGCATTCAGCGATGCTATGTACAATGAAGCACTGATTGCTATTGAGCATCTTTGCATTATTATTGCCAATTTGCCTCTCAGTCATTTCGGTATGCTTTCGCCAAATCGAAGTGCATCTGATTTGTTAAACAATGACATGAATCGTGAACTTCAATACAATACGGTAGAAATGGCAGCTATTGTCACTCGCAATGTTCCACTGATGAATGAGGAACAAAAGAACATTTATGACCGCATTATGCTCACAGTTTCGGCAGGACAAGGTGGATTTTTTTTTTGGATGCACCAGGTGGAACTGTCAAAACATTTATTATTTCGCTAATTCTTGCTGAAATACGATCAAATAATGGCATCGCGTTGGCCGTTGCATCATCTGGCATTGCGGCAACTTTATTGGATGGAGGCAGAACAGCTCATTCAGTATTTAAGCTGCCACTAAATATTCAAAACAACCCAGATGCAGTGTGCAACATAAAAAAAGCAATCGTCTATGGCCACAGTGTTGAAACACTGTAAAATTATCACCTGGGATGAATGCACTATGGCACACAAACATTCGCTTTAAGCGTTGAACAGAACATTGAAAGATATAAAAAACAATGACAAATTATGCATCGGCACTCTGTTACTCCTTTCAGGTGATTTCAGACAAACACTTCACGTCATTCCGCGTTTAATGTACGCTGATGAGATCAATGCTTTCTTGAGATCATCTCCACTTCGGCGTAATGTTGAAAAAGTTCTACTAAAAGTAAATATGCGCGTCCAAATGCTTCAAGATCCATCTGCTGAAACATTCTCAAAACAATTGTTAGATATCGATGATGGAAAGGTTACTGAGGATGAGACTGGATGCTTAAATTACCGGACGATTTCTGCACAATCATTGATTCACAAGATGCTCTCATTAGCCTAATATTTCCCGATGTACACACGCAATGCATTCATCATAAGTGGCTGGCAGAAAGGATGATTTTAGCAGCAAAAAATGTGGACGTCAACGAATTGAATCTGTAGATGCAACAGTTATTGCCAGGTAACTTGGTGACATGCAAATCCGTTGATGCAGTTTGCGATCCCATTGAAGCTGCAAATTTTCCAACAGAGTTTTTAAACTCATTGGATTTACCTGGCATATCACCGCATAATTTAGTACTCAAAGTTGGATCTCCGGTTATTTTGCTTCGTAATTTGAACCCACCTTGGCTGTGCAACGGCACGCGATTAGTCATTAAAAAATTAATTAACTACGTCATCGAAGTCATTATTTTAAATGACAAATTCCGGGATGAAAGTATATTACTTCCACGAATCCCTATTATGTGCCAATCCATATTATGCCCCCTATTATGCCTATTATGCCTCCACAGATGTGCCAATTCAATTTAAACGCATTCAGTTCCACATTAGATTGGCATTCGCAATGATAAGGCCAAACAATGTCTGTTTGCGTCTTAGATTTGAACACACCATGTTTTTCGCACAGACACGTGGCATACTCTCGAGTGGGAAAACCATCCAGTTTATTTGTGTTAGCTAAAGATGGAATGACAAAAAATATTGTACACTCCATTGCACTAAGAGATTAATATTGTTGACTAATATTTTCAGAATTCGTTGTATATATGATTTATAAGAAAAAGTTGCAATAAATTAAAAAAAAATTATTTGGTGTGTTGTTACTTTCACATTCCGTCATCGTTCTCAGCGCTCCATGCCTCTTCCACTCATATACCACATCCGCACACATTTACAATAAATAAGATATATTTTCATACTCTAGAAATAATTCATATGGCAAAACATCGTTTGCCGGGTCAGCTAGTATATATATATTAAAGCAAGATGAAAAAAAAAAGATATAATTAACGCATTTTATTTATAACTTTATGTCATATTAATCATTTAAATCAATGTCTTATTAATTATTTAAAACCCAAATGAAAGATTATAATAGCAATAAATGTACAAATAAACGCTTTAAAATAAAAAATAAAAATACTATAACCTATGGTACGTATTAATAATTAACAAAAGTTAATTTTTATAAAATTGGTTAAAGTTTATATACTTTTAGAATCAATCAAAATAGCATGACATTTTTACAAAAATATCACTTTAAAATTAAACTATTTAATGCAAATGGTTTCATAATTTAATATTTTCAAACATGAATTGTCGTTTCATGGAATTTACCTGAATGAAAGAGTAGGTATCCATCTCTTCTACTTCACCATAGAAGGAGAAAGTTAATATTTTCAAACCATCATACATGTCCCTAAAAAATATAAATAACTCTTTTATTTACAATACTTACCTCAAATAAATAATGATTTGAGTTATTTTCGAAGAATAGCTTTTGTTATGTTTAGCTAACCATTTTGCGAGTAAATCCTTTAATTCACTATCTTCAAATATTTTATAATTCTTATGAAATATCTTAAATTTACACTTTTCAAACTGAGAACTTGTCAGTTCTAAAGATACATTTGAGTTTGAGTCCATTTTCTTAAATATTCAAACAAATTCTGTTCCTCCAAAGGTTCGTCTGCTTTTCGTTTCAGTCTTGACTTGGTTGCTATGGTGATGATTGGACACGAAAACTGTTTTTTCTTTGCGGTGGAAGGAAACTCTACATTCCTATTTTCATTAAAAATATGCTAAAATTTTTTTTTATATTCAGTCTTTTAAAAACTATTATCTATGATTGAGGAATAATTTATTACTCAAACAATGTATTCATGCTTTATATTTTATTCAAAAGCTCTAGTTCTAAATTAAACATTAGAAAACGATTTAAGAAAATTCGCTTTCTGTAAAATCGTTTGATTAAAAATTGTGTTCTTTTTCAAATTTCAGAATTTATGTTTTACGTGGCATTTCACGTTGTTTACATATATGTATATCTTTCCCGTGGAGTATTAGGAGCATATCGCTGATAGTTCACTTAGACGATACAATAATTGGGTATAATATAGCCTACGTCACAGGTTGTGTTGTTCCTACTAAATTNGTTCACTTAGACGATACAATAATTGCAGTAGCTGTAAAAATCAACTATCCGAACCTTATTTTTAATACAAGTAGGTAATTTATTTTTCTAAAACATTATTTAATTTACTATGTGTTCCGAAAATTTGGAAGGAACAAAACGGCGCAAGACTGTAAAAATGTAACAAATAGTCCCAATCAATCAATATTTTATGTGATAAACGTTTCATTACTTCAAAAACCACCGTAAAAAAAACAGCAAAATGTGCATATTTTGTAATTCACAATGGCTGAAATGAGACTTTAAAATTTCTCCCTTATTTGAGGAAATCTTAAACGAGACAATTTTTAATACCTTAATCATAAAAACAAAACGAAAAGAAAAATCTATTTTTTTGGGAAACACATTGAAAGCAAACATATACAAAACTTTATTCTGTTTAATGTGACATATAATTTCGGAGATTTTTAATTTTTCAAAGGCAGGTTATGACCGCTGTATCTTCCCCTTCAATTTATCCCCTACGTCTTTCTTTAATTCACCACTTCATTAAATTCTATAAATACAATTATTAGCTTTTGCATAATGCACAAGTTAAAATGAGATGGTCGATAGTTTTAAACTGCTACGTAGAATGAGATAACTGCAAGTGACGTAAAGCGGGTATCTCGATTCCGATAGGTTGTTCAAACGTAGCATTTGTTATGTTCATTCCATTCTATTTCGAGTAAGCCAAGCCCGTCAAGCATCAATTTTCTTAAATGACACATTCTATATTCTTACACAAAGATTTCAATTCTTTCGCTATATATTTCTCACTTAACACAAAGACACAGGCATGAAGTCATGTAGAACATAAACAAACAAATTATGCATCGAAGTTGTCAGGCACACAATGCAAAAATATATCACGGTCACTATAAAATACATAAACAAATAATAAATCTAAGTTAAGTATAAGACGTAGATGAGAAAAATTACATTTCAACAAATTCGATGTGCGATAAGGCGCTATATTTAATTAACTTCACAATAATTAACAATTTTAACAGTTTTTGGACGTAAAACAGCTGGTACTTTTCAAAGCTAAAATTACTCAATTAAAGGGTACAGACAATGAGTAAGGTTCGAGCATAACTTTAAAGTTGAATGAATGAATTTAATTAAAATGATTAGATTTCGAATTATTATAGCATGAAGTCCAATGATTATAGCAGGTGAATTTTAACTAATAAGAGGCTTCTCCCCGCGCCATCTTAGTAATAGAATTTGATAATTTTTAGAAATTCTATGAAATGTTCCTCAAAACTTTAAAGCAGTGAAAATCTGCAATTTGTGGTTCGGAATCAGCAATTTAAAACGATGCATTTGTCAGATTTTTTAATTTAAATTTAATTTTATTTCAGTTTAAACTAATGAAAACCGATTTGGATGATTCTTAATTAACAACGTAATGAACAACGTTAATTGCAAAAAATCAAATATATTGTAAAACAATTTAAAGCAGGTAAATGTATACTATTTAAATACCTTTCAAAAACTACTGATTTTAAAACTAAATTGATATAATATTGTCATTAGAAATTAAAAGAGTATCTAAATTACCGCTCGCTTTATATCTCAAGTTCTGATTAGGAGTGGCCTGTATTTTACATATATCTCACGATACTGCTAAATAAAGTCCACTATTAGCTCATTTGTGGAAATTAACACGTTGGATGCTATAGGGGTCACCGGTGACCGGCAAAACGAAGATTATTAGAAACACATAATTCGAGTAAATTTTTAATGCTTTTAATTTTTTTTTAATATTATTATCGTTAGTAAAATGGTTTGAAGACATGAATGCAATATAGAACACACAAAAATAGTTTTATTTATATACACAGAGATGCCAACTTGGTCCGGACAGCGAATAAATATTTTCAAGTGATAGCTTATTTATTGTTATTCTTGGTTTCATAAATTCAATTTAGTAGATTTTTATCCTCCACTATTTCTAAACAATTCGTAGACTTATATAATTCACCAATTTTTTTTCAGATATGTCTTGCTAAACCTTTTAAAAAACTAGCAAAATTTGTCTAATATTTACAAACTTAGTTTGCAGTTATTTACCGTTTGGCCAGACGGGCAAGCCATGTAAAATTAGCGTGGCATTCAACGTGTTAAATGAGAAGGATTAAAAACATATTTAGAGTTTTCCCTCCCCGTCTTCACCCCTTTGTCAGTAGAGTTCAGTCTAGGGGAGAAAGGCATTTTAATAACAAAAAATTGTTTTATTATTAAATACTTTCTTCCCAATCAAGCATTTGCAAATTATTTGCTGGGAATGTTTCGTTTGGTCATTGTACTTATGTCAATCAATCATTAAGTCAGTTTAAAATAAATTTTCCATTGTCAAATGAAAAGAATTGATTAATTTTATAGTTTTTGTTTAGAAATATGATAGGGCAATACTCTTTCAATAGGTGGTGAAAAGTATTATTGTAGACGACTAAGACAATCAATTATATTTAGAGATTTTTTTATATATTAAGTTCAGGAATGTTTGTTGATGTTAATTTCTAAAATATAAAGACTTTAGATGAAAGTTTCACAGAAGTCATCGGAAAGTTCAACAATTTTTGTTCTGCATTGATAGTTTAAACAGAAAACAATCTTATTTTCTATGTGTTTTTGCTTATTAAACACCTTTTTCTTTCTTGTTTGAAAAATATTACTTTCAAACAATAAGAGCATATTTAAGAATTCACGGTTTCACGCTAAAAGGTGTCAATGTCTCCAATTTGTTTTTGCCTTTTTGAAAGGATTGAAAAATATTTTGAAACAGCCGCCTTTCTTCGAAGAAACTGTGTAGAATACTCGGTAATTTTTACTTGAAACTCAAAGTTATTAAAAGATGACAGTTATCTTGGGGACATTATGAAAAAATTAAATAAACTACTGTCCTTTAAAAATGTTGGGAAATTTTTGATTGTCGGTTTCACATCAATAAAATGTACAGTTTCTTAGTATACATGTTTTTTTGCAGTTGTAATCACTGGAATTTAAATGTAAGTACTTTTATTATTATTTTTTAAGGCAACATAAACTTATTTTTGTGAAATAAAGGAAAATAAGAAAATTTCCTAAATTCAGCGAATCCATGCAATGAACAAAGAACAATTTTAATGACAAATTTGTTTATTTATTCAATATTTATCACTGACATTTTTCTTTGAATGTATAATTTAAAGAGCGTGTCATAGTCATATATCATTTTAAAATTTCTTCAGCGAAATGTTGAATATAATAAGATAATTTTTTAATAAGTTATAAGATAATAAGTTATGTAAGAAAATCATTTATATAACTCACAGCTTAAAAATTGTAATGAATGAAGGCTGGTGCTTGAGTAAAGAACGGGAAACATGGTAACGATATTTAATCGATAAGTAATTTTTATCAATGGAGGGGGGGAATTAATACTTATCTGGACAATACAACAACAAAAATTAATACTTAGAATAAAAATTGCTTCATTGAATTATAAAATGTGAAAATTAAATTATTACCACATAGTCTTATTTATTCTTTAGGAACTTTAATTGCGAAAGTTAGTACCTAAAGATAAAAAATAAAAAAAATTAAAAGAAACTGTATACATCTCATTGGGCACACCAGAGGATAAAAGGTACATTTATTTGCTTCATATTCTATTAAATGTTAATGACGAAAAAATCTCAATCTATATATATATATATATATTTCTCTTACACGGCGACAAAAAAAAGCCTCATTACAACTCCCCGAATGGCAACGCTAGAAAATCGAAAAATCATTGCCACTAAAAATGTCACATGCCAAATCTAGCTGAGATGGCTCAACATATAGCGCTTTTTAAAACGGAAACTAAAACAACCAGAGAGAGCATAAGCTAGGCAGAAGTGAGTAGTCTTTGTCGATAGATCTCTATTTTGGTATTTTGTCGAAAGCGCTTTTTTTCACGAATTTATATATTACGAATTTATTTGACGATTTTTGATTTATATCACGAATTTATTTGTTTTACTAGAATTTATTTGTTTATGCAGGTTTTTCCATTGCAATTCACTTATTTCAATTTTTAATAGACTTAATTATAGCCAAAATTTTAACCTTTTTAAAGAGATATCAGTTTTAGAAATTTTATCTTAAGATTTTATACTATAGCACATTTCTAATAGGTTTAACGAATTACATGTCATTTATTTGAATTCAAATTTATTTTAATGACTTAGTATTTACTAAAAAGATGTAATTTT